AAATTAAGAACACAACCGTTTTTGCTGAACCGATTGGAACCAATTTGGGTACCAATATTCTTAAACATAAAAGGGCAGAATAGTGTGCGGGTGGTATCTGTGCTAGCCATAGCAATTTTTTTTACACGCTTACCTGTTGCACTCTGTATAAACAATTTGGCACTTAAACTCTTAAAGGATTTATTATTATAACCGATTTATCTATGTGTCCGTCGTAGATTTTCTCCGCAACCCCATGCATGAGATACCAAAATGGAGTTTTTGCATAACTTTAGTGGGCGGCGGCGTGTGCGGAAGTGGATACCTAATCTATATCCGGAATTGTTTATGCGTTCAGCTGCCTACAGTCGCCACGTGGTCTCCAGGAACCATCCTTTTTGGACACAAAGAGAGTGAGGGCTGGGCTAAGGAAATTGTGATGGGCGGAAAATACCCAGTTCCAACATCCGTGTGCAAAAACGCAAAGTACGCAGAGTTGGACCCACATCACAGAAAATAATCTGCCATAGAAAGTTGCGCATGAGACCAAGGCCCGGGGAAATTAGTTTGGTTCGGTAGATGTGGAGATGGATTAATATGGCACAGCCTGCGCATGCGCACATTAATCGTATCAACGGATTTTTTTCTTGGCTCAGGTTCCAGAGCTATAAGCTACCGAATTCAAAAAGAACGAAATAAATAATTGAAAACTGTATGAGTAGTTAAGGCCTCGGACGGACGGACATAGAAAGTGGCTACAATAGCGCACCCAACTTCGTTGGAAAATGCGCTAAAAATTATGTTTATGTAGGGTACATATATGTACCCCGCTTGAATTTATGAAGGGCCCAGTTAGTCCATTTATAACACGTCTGGATAACTATTTCTCCACACCAGTTCTATAATTCTAAGACTTTTGAAGTAGGCTAAGGACTGTCGATCTTAGGTATGAGTTCACAATATGAAACTTTTATCGAAAATCCGACCAGGAGAGTCAAACTTTTTTAAATTCTATACTCCAAGATTGCTCACCCCCAAAGTAGAAAGCAAGAAATTCATAATTGGACCGAATTTTATTTAATTATTTAATGTATTCCCATCGAAATGCGAAAATACGAAAATAGTTCTCCTTCTTCCTACATTGTGAAGTATCATCCCTGATATTTTCATTTTTGTGGCACCAATAAACTCTATATATTTTGCAAAATGCGACGATCTTTCCGGTCTCTCTCGTTGCGGAAAAATTCCCGTCATAAATAAGAAAAAAACCGAAGGTTAAAAAAAATGTAAGGTACTGACAAATATTTAGTTGCTTGATTTTCCAAAATATAAATAGGGTATTACTGACAAGATGGATCTTTTAGCACACGTACCTATTTATTTGTTCCGCAATTTTGGAAGGGAAAATGTAGGAAAATCCAAATCAGGCGGCGATAAGCTCAAAATTGAAAACTTCTTTAATTAATTGTGCGGCCTACGGAGGTCTTGAAAATCTGCAACAGATATCTAAATTCTAGTTAATTAAGCGCGCTTCTAATAACACCAAACTCAACCCAATCGGACAAGGTTGGCTGCAACAGATAAGATTAGCTACCGCGCTTTATATACCGGGAATCCACCTTGACCGGGCATTTATATACACGGTTGTCCCAACCAGGTGGAAACTACCTGCTTCGTTACAAAACAAATTTAATTCAAAACTTCAGCTTTGTTACAAAAACAAAAAAGTAAGTATCACGTTTGCCTTGTGGTGGCTAAAACGTGGTTTCATATAAATAAAGAATATTTAATGAAACCCATTTCCTTTGAAATGTTATGTTCAAAAAGAAAAATGCTTTTAACTGAAGCACTTTTAGATAGGCAGGTATACTTAAGATTTTGAATGCGAAACTAAATTTCATTCCCGTTTTAATGGAAATGCACATTTATTCCTCAAACCAGTTCGCAAAAATCAAATTGTAACAAATAGTACAAATGTAGGTAAATGTACTTACAATTTAATTATAAATTAACTTGTTTTTGTTCTTTTACAACACTAGGGTTTTGTATTTTGCCTGCAAATCTTTTCTGATAACTGCATGATACGAATTTTAATGAAACGTTACAATCATCTCCTGTTAATTAAATAGTGTTTTGAAAATAATATAGTTCAAATCAAATGGAGAATTTAGTGTGTGCTACGCATTCCCCAATTTCACAAACGATGATTAAGGTTAATCATTGCTTAAAAATATTTCAATGGGAATCACATTACCTTATTATTTAATTATTATTATATTAGTATCATCATTTTAGTGAAACCACGTATAAATAATACATCAAAAATGAATTAGACAATCAAGTGGACGCATTTTTCAAATAAATGGTTCAATATGCACTACGTTTGAGATAAGAGGGTCACCTCAATATCTCTTTTATTTGGCGAGATCTATCAGCTGCCGCATATTCAAATTTCCGGTATCACTTCCGGGATGCAACTTTTGTTTTTCAATTGCAATGTCTGTTTTTTTACGATATTTGAAAAGAGCGGTCAATTTTCTGTACAACATAAAATATGCATATGGTTGATACTATGCGATCAAAAATGAGTTGCTGCCGAGTTACCTTTGGAATTTTTATTTACATGGGAAATCGTACTTAACTTGGACTTCCAAAGGCAACTCGACAGCAACTCATTTTTGACCGCCCGTTATACAACAAAAATGGAGAAATTCGTGATTCAATATTTAGGTGAAAATTTATGAAATCTAGCATGCCGTGTAAACGAAACATTGAACAAGTTATTGTTCGTCTGTTCTGTGTGATATGGCCACAAATAAGATGATTGCCAATTGCGAATGCGCGGTAGTACGATTTTTCTTTGCTTTTATTAAACAGGCATATACCATAAAATTTCGATCAAATCCCCCAGAAATAAGAAACTAGTCTATTGCGCATGCGCAGTAGGCATGTTTAGATGTCTCCTTATCTGACACACTTATAGGACCGTTGACACATTGCTCCGCTCCGCCTCGCACATGAAACACATAACATATACCTAACGCCATTGAATTTATAACTATTAACGCTTTACCAAAATCGCGGTCGATTGTAGGACGCGCCCGGTAATTGTAAATTTTTGCTAGGTCGTGTCGTTTTCACATCACGATGAATTAAGACGAGAGTTGTCTAAAAAGGCAAACTCCGCACCCCCAAACAAATCCATGGCAGTTTTACTTTTCTAACAATTCGCAAGAAACGCGTTTTTTCAGTTTCGCGAGTTCTTTATTAAATTTTGTATTAGGTGTGTCATTTAAAGAAATCATCAATGAATTATTTTGACATTTTGTCAACGCATATAGGGACTATGTAGTTAAAAATTTAATTACAATCTTGTTTTTTGACTTAAATAATATAATACAGTATATTAAGATACAAGTGAATAATCAAGTCTTTAAAGCACGCGCAACGAGTTTAATGGCATGACGCGAAACGGAGTGCCTTTAACGTTGCAAGTGCTTTAAAGACCAATTATACACGTGTATCTTTATAGTATTTCTTATTATACCTGCAGTATAATTTAAAAATAGGAAATATAATGAAATCATATTGACGTTATACTCGAATACATGTCTAATTAATTGGGCTGGGTGTTCGTAATTTCACGTATACCATGGAAATGTCACTTGACGTTTGCTTATAAAAATCATCGTTTTTGTGAATAAAACGAATAAAGCGTATTATAAAGAATATAAAAATGTCAAAGGTATTTAAATCTTCTATCTTTTGGTGCATTCATTCAAAACTTCAAACAATGCTGCGATTAAAAAGTGGAACAGATTTGGAAGCATATAACTCTCGCCAGGAAAGATTGCCCGTCACAGCACACCTTGTGTCAATTTACAATCTGTTTTTTTAAGATGCGAGCGACTTCCGGAATAGGATCGTGCCATAAACTTTACCTTCGGGATTAAAAGTACTACTTCAGTCCCGCGGTATATAATATACTATTTTACATTTTGGTATAGTATAGACGTTGACAACGTGTCAAAAAATTCATTGATGGTTTCCTTAAATGTCGTTGATGATGATTTCACAATAACGAAACGTCGCACTGTAAATCTGTATGCACCATCTTGTAGAGCTTAAAGGGTTCCTATAGCGTTATTTGTTTTTATCTTTTCAAACAGGGTCAGAAAAAATATCAGGTTGGAAAGTACTCGATGTGTCGAGCTATTAAGTGCGTTTTGTGCGTCGAATCGAGGTTTTATTAACAAACTCGTTTTATAAATATAATCTACATGCAAAGAATTGTGACACAAAGCTAATGCTTCAAACCCGAGCTTTCTACGATGATTCTTTCGAGAGTTTATACTTAAAAAACTGTTGTAGCCGACTGACCGACCACACAATAGTATATTGAAAGTTACAATGCGACCACGAGTGTCCGCAAGATAGGAGTATTACAATAAAGCATTGTAACACGCGTTTTTCATACTATTTTTTCTATTTCGGTGCTTTAATTTAATTAAAAATCAGAACTATAGGGAACATTAGAACTAACATGTTTTATGTTGGGAACACTTTTTATGCCGTTAAGTTTTAGGTTGGCAGCGTAGTAAGACTGACATTTTGAAGTTCAAACATGAAAGTACCCAACGAAGTACCTATTTGTACCAACTAGTAACTGCCAACTTAAGAGATGAGTTATAAAAAAAAGACTATAATCACTGTCTTTGTACAACTGTTTTCGGCCGAAAACAGTTGTACAAAATCATCATTGTGACACCGAAATAGAAAAAAGTAATGATCGCCTAACATGCCTCACATCGGGATCTATAGGCTTCTTCAAGGAGGATCGCACAATATATTCAAATGTTCGTTGCGTATGCTTCAGGATTTACCTATTCGACGATCATTGCGTTTATCAATGACTGTATTTACATCACAAGATTAAGTTGAAGATTAAAACAACCCCTTTAGTCCCATATACTATTATGGTCTGCTTTGGCACCAAATACTAATTCAAAAATTATTTGCAGCTGCGACAATCAAGATATATTAATGGCGTTCGTTCAAATCGAAGGGAGAATGGAAAAAATCGATACATTTTGCGGAAGCACATTACCAAAACCTATTATGTCGAACGGACCCAAGCTCAAACTGGAATTTCACGCGGCATATGGTTCAAGATATTCGAGAGGATTCAAGGCTACCTTTAGCTTCATTCAAAGTTGGTTTTTCTTATTGTTCTCTCAATTGTTAGTTTCCTTTACAGATTTTGGGATCAAAATCGGTGTACAGCTACCTGACTATCCATGTGCCTTTGTTTTCAATAGTAACGAAACACGTGATGGCTACTTCTATAGTCCAAATTACCCTGGATTTTATCCACGTGACACGGAATGTTACTACTTCTTTCACGGTAACCAGGGAGAAAAAATCCATCTACACTTCAGCTACTTCGATGTGGAAGGCGTTTTTCCGTAAGTTGGGAGGGTTTTTTATGGTTAGTTGTAGACCATTAATATATTAGGTGCGAAGCAAAATCTGCCAGCGATTATGTAGAATTTTCAAACTTTGTATCGCAGGACCGAAAATATGAAAGACACTGCGGTCAATTAGGTGAATTCGACATTGACTCAGACAGAAGATTTTTTAGGGTTACTTTTAAATCCAATGATAGGCTTGATGGAACTGGATTTAATGCCACTTATCAGTTTCAAGATAAAGTAGAAAGTTTCACTACGAGGTCTGAACTTTCAAATAAAACAGCCGTAATGAAAGGTAGGTATAGTCAAAGACCGTTGCCGCGGTTATAACTACATTTTTAGATATGACCGGATTAGCCACAATTATATTATTTCTAGTGACAGAATTTTTAAGATAAATTGTCAAAGAATTGAACGATATAGCAATAATACTTACCTAATAATTTACATCTTCTCGTGATGATGAAATGGACTATTCCACCTAGTGAATTCTATCAAAACTGCTCAATTGTAAAGTATAGTAGTAATTTTTAATGATTTTATTGATAACACTCCCATTGTGTCTATCTTCTGTTGTACATACCTTTTAAATGCCGTTTGGAATTTTACTGGTGTTGTTTAGAGACTACATTGTTACCTAAAAATATTTTACCTAAATTTAAATAAACTGTTCTTTAATGTAATCGTGTTTATTATGTTACAGTTCGGTCCATGGTTCCACGCTTAATTAAATGTTCTACATTTTTCCCCTTAGCTGCCTCTACTTCCATTTCATTGTTAAACTGTACTTTCAGTAAATGTAAACGAATATTAGATGAATTTTAAATATTGAAATTTTTCCCTTTCGATACCAGCTGCGTTAATTTCGTGCATATCGGCATTGTGTAAATTCTATTCTTTACACTATGATATCGGTCACCATGATCTGGGTAGAAAATGTGTAAAGTTTATTACAGAAATAGATATAAACGATCTGATGAATCGCATCAAATTTTAGTAGGACGTCAATTGAATCTTTTCCACCGCACAACCTAACTTTTGTTTTCGGCGAACTGAACGTGGGTATCTAGCTTAACATTATATCATTAAATTATTATTCAATGGTTATGGTGCAAAAAATGTGATGAAGTCGGAAAACTCACAAGAACAAAATACAAAGTCTTTTATCATTAGTTCACTTTCATTAGATAATGAAGGAATAGTCAATAGAAACATCTATCTATATCTTAACTATCTAATGATAGTAATGATTGTATAATAGTATAGGTACCTATTGCATAATAAGAATTATCTACTATACTTTTTCTACGGCTTGAATATAATTGATAAAAGATTGATAGATTACGATTCATTTGGACCAAAATGTTCGAACTTCGAACTAAAAATTAGAGCTGTCAAATGTCATGGTCTATGAAAACATAATACAAAATACAACGTAACTTCACTTTTATTCCATGAATGCAAGCAAGAATAGCAAGGATTTAATAAATATGCAACACTTTTTACTTAGATTTGAAGTGTATTACAGGGTTTTGACATCCCTATTAATTATATAACGTTTGATCTACCTACTGGACTGCTCAATTGAATTCATACATACCTACCTAAAGATTGCATGATATTTTGTGGTAAGTTCGTCAGTTAAATGAAAGGAGTGTATATTGACTAATTTCATATACCTAGGTCATAGGTCTTTTAAAGGATTGGCTATTGGCGATACTTGAAAGCTTGCAGTGTGTTATTTGCGAAGTTAACGGTAAACAAATTTAGGAAAAAAACGCCTTGTGCGTCAGCATAATGAGTAAAGCGTAGATGTTCCTAAATCTACTTCTATGGGACATGAATTGGCATCGTTATAGATTTTAGAACGTTGCAATAAAATTCTAAAAATACGTTTCGCTAAATGTCAGTGATCTGATCACTGACCACGTGCAATTATTTATCGAATAAAGTGTTGAACGTTTACTGTAAACGGGACGGTGAAAATAGCCAACTTTAATTATAACTACCTAAATGTTGCAAAAAAATGGTTCAACTGACAGCCTAATCAATCGCAATCGCTTTTCTTTTAAATTGTGTAAGCCTCGGGACCGATATACATTCTAATATCAAAAAATCCCTAACGTTGCTTGCGTCGATCTTCAAATCTGGGTAGCAATTTTACTGGAACACTGAACAGTCGGAAATAGCGTATTCTGTAGGTATTATCGGGAGTGTTTGTGGGAATTACCTAGGGCTGCTTTCACGTTTTGTAAATGTTGAAACCTTATTCGATGACTTCTTTTACGTCTTCTATTTCAAATTCTTGTCTCACTTCTGCTCATTCCCTTCACTCTTCGTAAGTATTTTACGTCAATAGCTTCTAACTTACTCTTTGGTGTGTTATAGTAATATTGGCCTAAAAATTGTCTTAGTAATGTCATTTGGGTTTTCTTCTTATCTCGCCCTGCGAATGTATTACTGAGTGTGAGCTGCATTTTGCAATAGTCTCTTCTGGTATGTTGCCCTCTATACTATAATGTAAACTACATGGGGGTGTCGTTTCTCTAGGTTGAAACAATGCCGAAGGTGAGAGTGAACTACCTTGTAGTGTAAAACTACTTGTTGTTAACGTAATTTCCATCTGAATATTGGAAACAGTAGTCAGGACATCCTGTATGGAACATAAGATATTTCATAAGACCTGGTTTTTTAAATGTCAAATAGACACAGAATTGGGAATATTTTGTTGAATTGTCATTTTGATGTTAGTTTTTTTTATGGTCGGTAATTCATTTAATTCTATTTGTTGTATTTCGGTAAATCGTGCTAACGCGCTTGTCTTCGGTACTACTCGGATAATTCAAACAGTTGAGTTTATCCCGACGTTCGTTTAGTTTATTTACAATAATTATTGACACTTTGTTGGTTATTATTATTTTGAAATGCGCGTTACTCTTACTGACAGATGACATACAATGACAGAATTCGTTACGCGTTAATGCGCAAGCTCATCACTTGCCACTACGGTAACTATAAATCGTATTATATTCGTTAACGTAAGATTTTACGGTTCCGTTCTTACGTTCTTACGGTTACGGAACTATAAATCCGGCTTTAATTGGTTTTTCGACAAACAATGTCACGTGAGGGATAAGCGATGCAAGTGTTTTATCAGTAGCGGCGTAGAGGGATTTTCGAGTGTTATCGGGCATTACGATATTGATTTTCTTAGATGAGGTGGTCTTTATTTAAATAGCAGGAATGAAGAGTAAACGAGGTTGTCTCGCGTTATTTTGAAAGAGAGCGTTACTGTCTGTGTGTCTTTGTCTCGAAAATGGGTGTCGTTTCTACGCACGAAAATGTAGCTTCCTCCCACCCCCAACCCATCTGCTCACCCTCTGTACACGTTTCTGAAAAGATGACCTAGTCCCCGCCACGCACGCTACACCTTCCTCTTTGACTGAACAATCGAAATATTGATTGGATATTGGATTAGTGGCACGATAATCGTGTTACTCCCATGAAAGACCAGGTCGTACGAAACCGTCGTGGCTGGATGGAGCGCCGAGGGTGTGCGAAAGCGGCAGACTAAAGCGGGTAAACGCTCCGTGATCGTGCATGCGGGTCACGATCGCGGCTTTGTTAAGAACGCATCACTGATCTTTGGAAAAACTCGTTGATAACCGCGGTGATATGAACGGCGACTTCAAATGAGTTCAAGGGAAGCTTGTTCCGAATTTGGAGGAGCCGTCGTTGATTATGATGGACTACCACATCGTGACTCGTAACAGTATCCAACAAATGCCTGGACCTCCGCATTTGGCCGTGTCCGGCATTGCTCAAACCGGAGCTACTCACTCTGGCACGAGTACATGCACTGGCCAATCAGTACAAGGTGGATGAGTACTTGACCGAACACGGCTACAAAGTTTTACGCTTGCCACCATTTTAACGCCATCGAACTCATTTGGGCCCAGGTAAATTTCGATACACGTTTGCATTTGTTCGTTTTACCATTTCATTTTTGGTAGGCGAAGACCTACAATAATAAAATCACATAGGTGGTGGAATGTTCGCCGGAACGCTGGCGTTCTATCGTGAAGCATACGGAGGCTAATGGTACACCAAGTGCGTCGATCAAGTTCCGAACATCATCATCCATATTGGTGCCGACAGCACCGACTTGGACTGCATGGACAGCAACTAGGGAATTCTGTGGCCATAATATCAAGAGCAGAAGGCACATTGTGTGGCGCCAGCTTTTTTGTTAATAAAGAAACAATTTTACCACGACTAGGGAGGTTTTAACATTCTGTTTCGAATGTTTGACTTCTTTAAAAACTTTTTTGTGTTTTATTTCATCGTACCCAACCCCCTGAAAAGAAGTCGTATTGCCGCCACTGGTAAAAAAATTCAGTCGACTTCAACCATACAGTGCTCCGTGACGTCACACCGGCAAATATTCAATAGCCAAACTATACCTTTCGGGGTATTTCTTCCAAACTGCGCATTTGTAGGTAAAATTCCATAGCCAGCCATTACGCTATAAAATAAATGCATTTGTCCCAATGCCAATAATATAGTAGCCTTATTAACAATTACATGTAAGTAAACAATACAAATTTCGTGATTTCCTGGAAGAAGTACACCTGTATTTTTAACTGGTCCAAATGAGTGATACGAAAAGAGAATTCGCTAACAAACCCTGTAAGTTTGTGTGCATTTTAATGTAGCGCACTAATTTCGTATACTACAGGCGAGATAGAAATTTCTAACTGTCAAACAGTGACCCCAAAGCTTTTGCCAAGTCAAAACATGAATTGTCCCTGGATCTCAAGAGCGCCATTTTCGTCTCCTATAGACCTTCGAATTGAGAATACTACGGCAAACTATAAGCGCAAGCTATCAATGGACCCACCTTGTGAAAAAATCCCGTGCGTAGCAGTTCAACATTCGTCTAACCTATTTTTACATTTTTTGCGGCTTATGCAAATTTTTCCCGAGATTCATCCTGCAACATTACATACCACAATGGTTCTCTGTAAAAATAACTTCTTTTGCGCCGTCGACAAACTATTATATGCCAAGAAGTATATAACAAATGACGTGGGTGACCAACAGACCGAACAAAAGGTTGAGAAACCACAACCACATACCAATAAATCGCTAAATACTAAGGGCGCGTATTTGGAAATTTCATTTCCCAAAGCAATAGTGGTGCGGACGTTAGATGACGGTGTAAAGCCTGTTGATTCTTCAAGTACTCAAAATAGGAAGTTAAGAATATTGCAGCAAGGACCGGCAGGTACACTTTTAAAAGATCAATTGTAATCATGTACCTAGTAATAACGATTTTCTGGCTACCCGCACACCGATATTGCGCTTTTAGAAATAGATCTGCTAAGTTCAATATTGTATACCTCGTGTAGCCTCGTATTTTCACTCACAGCTACGTTTGCTGTTTCGATGACCAACAACTCAAAATTGCGATGATAGGCGTTTTTTTGGTTGGGAGGGGCGATGAAGGAAGAGGGTTGAAAATGCTTCTGTCCTTCAAACTATTCTACATGGAAGGTCTTGGCGAAACAAGTTGTCGATCTACTACAAATAATAATTTCTCATATACGATAATTCAAATGGAGAAGTGATAATTCTGTGACGATACACATTTATTACTAGGTCGAAGCATCGGAAGATGTATCGCGACCACTTTCTGATATACTAAACATGTAACTTTTTTGCGCAGAGTAGGTATGTGTACAATTTATAACTATTGTTTTGTTTCAACGGGATCTTTGCTGTGAAATCACATATACGAAACATTTGCAGCTGTTTAATCAAAGCTGAACAGCAGAAGTACCTGTGTGTGACACTATACCTTTAGATAGTACTTATAGTATTCAATATGCTTTAGTGTGTATGTACAAGTTAAAATAAGTGCACGTAGGTACACATACGCTTTTTAGGGGAGTTCACTGGTGAAGATATATCAAAATCATCCACGATCGATGTTCCATTCGTTGCTTCCTCTTCCACTTCGAGTACCTGTTCAACGATGGGAGATAATTAAATGATTTATGGACGAAGCACACGTTTTATATACTGTTATTACTGAGTTGTATCTACAGTAGTCAATTAAAAGAGTAGGTACATAACTAGATACGACTGGTTTGCAGGTAGCTGAGTATGCTTACTCTGCCAGTAGATTTGTCTCGACTGACGCAATACCAGCAGGCTGAAAAATGAAGTCTTCGATATCGATACCATTGTAACGGTCGCATTAGTTGAATTTTGTTTTTTTAAGAATTTGCACGCATGCAAATCTAGTTACTATTCATTACCCTAACCACTCATATTTTAAGTAATAGGTCATTTAAACACTTGGCGAACTACGAAAGGCAATCATGAAGTTTTGTTCAGTACCGTTTGTGAAGTGAGAAAACCTGTCTAATCGCGAGCTTCGTATGTATACAGGGTGATTCCTATAGTACCTGCCACCGTTTGGGAGCGTGTAGGTGGTGCGTAGGGGAGTATTTTGATATAGGACACTTGGGGTCGGAAATCTAAAATAAGGGTGCCAGAGCCAAATTTACCTTCTGGAATTTCGCGCCTGTAGGTAGGCAACCCAACCGGCCGGCGGTGCACACGGAGCGATCTCAGGCGGCGATGTGTGGCTGACACTTGATCAGAATTTTGTTTAAACCCACGAAATCCCGTCTGCAACGACGCGTATCAAGTGAATAAACACTATGGCAATAGTATAATAATAGTTGGCTAGATGTAGGAAGTGCATTGAGAACAACGGTGGCCACGTTGAACACTTGTAAACGTTATTGCTTTTGACTGTCGTTTTCCCTCCTTCCCTCCCATGTCGTTTCCTCGCGCTAACTCGCTCTGCATCGCTCCGCGCGAAACGTCGGTCGGTTGGGTTGCCTACCTACAGGCGTGAAATTCCAGAAGATAAATTTGGTTCTGGCGCCCTTATTTTAGATTTCCGACCCCAAGTGTCCTATATCAAAATACTCCCCTAGGCACCCCCTATACGCTCCCAAACGGTGGCAGGTACTATAGGAATCACCCTGTATGCGAGGTTATTTGGTTAGTTTTGATTGTGAGTTGAGATTAAGGATTTAGGAATTTTTTTAATTATTGTAAGGTAAAAATACAAAAGAAAACACTACTGTCACTGGGTGCGAGAAGGCCAGCCGCTATACTCTTTCTTTATTTTCTTATTACTTAGTATAAGCAAAAAAAAAGTTTGGTGGAACTTTAATCAGTTTTTCCGTGTCGATGGTGTTAGGAAGTCAAACGGTTTAGTAACTAGTTTGATACAATAATGTACACGTTAAAGCACGCCACAAAATTAGGGTGCATATGGATGAGTTTTATCGGAAAAGGTCACGTTGCAGGGGCGCAACTTGCCGCGACCCTTGGCACCGCGACTACAAATGGAGTGGTAAATCGTACTACTACCTTTTTAACCCGGACCAAAATGACCTATATGAAATATGTAGCTTGCGATTATACGAATAAAAAAAACAACGGTGCCGACTCTCAGGATGCCGGAAGTCCTCGGCACCGTCGATGGAATCCGGGCGCGCGCGAGCCTATTGACAGTGCGAAAATTGAAAAACTGCAAGAATTTACGTCACTTACCTATGTATTCGGTGAAAAAATGTAACAGCGTGGATACCGCGAGATCAAATTCGGCTCAGTGGTAGAGCGTTGGGCGGAGCGGAGGTCGGGTGTTCGAACCTGGGTTGAGGTGAATTTTTCATCTGTGGCGGAGATGGAAATTACCTTAGACCAGTTCCGAGTATTCTAACGGCTACTCCGTATTAGATTTTCCTGCAGTTTTCCTAATTCGTAAAGTAAATACCGGAGTAGTATAGAACAACTTAAGACCTTTTGCAGAGGCACCTCTAAATAGTATTATGCGGGTCACTCTGTAATTGGGCGCATGCCTGTTGAGGGCCCAGAAAAAGAGAGGGATAATAAATAAATAAATAAATAAATAAATAAATAAATAAATAAATAAATAAATAAATAAATAAATAAATAAATATATTACACAAAATTTTCTCGACGAGAAAAGATTCTGAGAAACTCGTCAAGAAAATCAAAGGATTTGATTCGTGTACGATTCCGCCGCCTTGTAGTACAGGAAAATTGTCCAAAATAGACAAGAAAATTGCATTTTCATATATAATACCATAAGTAGTCGAAGTATTGTCGAATATTTTTGAGGTGCTGTCACGAATGCTAGTTACGCTGATTAATACCACGAGCGCTTGCGCGAGTGATATTAAAAAGCGTAACTAGCATGAGTGGAGCAGCAGCTCAAAAATATCTACAAATACTTCGACTACGAATGGTATTCGGAGGACTATTCAATGAATCAAAAGAAAAATTAAGCATAATTACCCACGCGAATGTATTTCCATGACAACAATAAACGTCAAAATAAATTATGGAAGTTGCTTTTCATTTTGCTATTGATTCTATTCGAACTTTTGTGCTCCAAGCTAATTCGTTATGAGGGATTAAATTAAAAGATGTGGTGATAAGTCGGTTGTCGAAATTGATTAACAAACTAAGAAGAATGTTCCGGTTAATACGACAAAATTTCGCGTCATTTCACTGGTGGAAGTTTGACAAATGTCATTGAATAATCGCATTGAATTGTCGCTGAAATACCACACGTGAAATTATCACTTATAATTGCACAAGAGGTTTGTTTACCGAGTAAATTTGGGTTGTTAAGGTAATGAAAATCTGTTGCCTAGCAATTAGACGAGAAAAACTGTCAACTAATAAAAATGCGACACCGAAGGTGGAGCATTTTTAGTTTGACAGTTTTTCGAGTTCAATTGCTAAAAGGAAACAGATTTGAATTGCAACAACCCAAATTTACTCGGTTTAAATACAAACCTCGAGTGTAATTCGGCAGGACAATTTAACGAACAAGAAATTCACCAACTAATCAATTATTGACAGACGTCAAACTAGTCATATGGGAAAGGATAATGTGATAATTGGTTCGAAAATGACTAAGTGAAAAAACCACTAGTGCATTTGTCGCTGGAAAAGTTGCAGGTAACTTTTGCCGCTGTCAAAGTGACAATTTCACTGCGGCTTATGCGATTTTTTATACATGAGTTGAATTGTCGCTGAAATACCACACGTGAAATTATCACTATAATTCGTTCCCATTGGCTCAACAATTTGAAATCTCGACATTTCACTGGTCGAAATGTGACAAATGTTAGATGAATTGAATAGTCATTAATATTTAACGAATGCAAATAAATAATCTAAATTTTCGTGCAATCACTGATCGACATTGAAATGCTGCTCTATCTCTTCAAGTTGACAAATTTATTGTTGTTATACATTTTACATAAAGACTATATCTTACGTTAACAAATGCCATATATCGATGATAATCAACACATATATTATCCAAAATTGCTCAGCTGAATGTTATTGTTGTTGTTCGTCGCCGTGGCGATACTGAAGAATTTCGGTTATAGTGAAAAATTGAATGAGTTATACTACATAGGACACCAACCCTATAAATGACAGCAAATTTCGTTTAGCCGGCACCGTTTATACTGTATATTTTCTCGGATACATTTTGGACTCTCACTTTGTTACAACATCGTGTATAATAACTGACAAAACAAAACTAAAGAATGCGCGGTTATTACACGAAGGAAGAAAGAAACTAAGTTCTTTATACAAATTAACCCCTAAAATATCAAAGAAGCTCTAATAATTGGATTTCTAACTATCTAAATGCAATGCTGCAAAATAAGTCGAGTGTCTTGTTGTGCCATTAAAGCTAGCACTTCTCATTTTACAAAGTCTTTATATCTAGGTAGCAGTATAATTTCAATTTCGTATCAGTACCCACCAACTTGAAAAACGAATTAGTAATATAATGAATCAAATTAATGAAACTTAGAGAAGAGAATCATTTTTGAGATTTCTGAAAAATATTGCAACGCACGTTGCTTCTGTTAAGCCTAGTTTTCATTCTTACGATTTTCATATTTTCCCCTACGAATTTGTACTTAAAAAATTTCGTATACCCAGATGGAAAGATTTTTAATAATTAGAAATTGGATGATGGCCTCTTCTGTATCAATTTTTAGAACTTGTAATACACTAATGATTGAACAAGTTGATTGAAAGAAAAGTTCAACACAATACACAGCGGTAAAACCTCTAATAAAATACAAAGGTTTTGATTGGAAATTATATGATTTGATTTTTCAGATAAGGCGAATAGTTCAAATTGAATAAAATGAGAAACGTCTAACAAAGATTCAAAAGATGAATTTTGCGTATTACTGCGTTTTCAAAAAATAATAAGTACCTAACTGAAAACTTCGAACCCCGCAAATCTTCGAGTTTAATTTTATAGATTCATAAAAAATAAGATTAGGAAGGTATTCGAAATACGTTTCAGAACTTGTAACGTATAAGTGCCGTCGTAAGACTATACTCATGAAAAAATGTCTTTAACAAGGTGTGTACTCAAATCTGTACCTCGGGATACAGAAACAGTCCGAGCATGTACGCTCAAGTTGAAAATTTAAAAATGCCCCTGATAAATGTAAGAAAAATGCCTCCGGGCGATTTATTCACATACAAAACTTAAAAGCTTTAAAACTTTTGAAGGAATTTAAAGACAACAACAACTACGCTACCTAATTTTTATATAAATTAGAACATGGATCCACGCAAAAATAAAACAATTGGAAGAACTGACCAAATAGAAACCATTTTCAGTTCAGTTGATAGCATATACAATCACACACGTATTATTATTTTAGATTCCAATTTAAAAAAATTACATTATCAACAATTTTATTTAGAAGAAAAACATGAAGATAATACATATAGATCCATTTTTTTTTGCGATATTGTACTTTCGATAACTTAATTAATAAAAAACAATTACTAAGGAATACCAAAAAAATGTTACAAGTTGAAAGTAAAAAAAAGTGGTTGATGTGATTCAAGTTTGTTACGGTAGGGGAGCGAAGGGTAATATCGAACACTTAAGAAAAAAAATCAGTAACTCTATAAGTGTAGCCATTACCTAACTACCAATTAGGAGAACAGATACTGGAAACCCTAACAAATCAATTGTAATACCAAAAAATGCGAAAATTAAATTGTAAAATGACACAATATTTTTTTTTTAAAAAGTGCGCATGTTCGGCATTGCCCGAAGGTTTCGGGTAATGACGTACAACAGGTGGGTAATACCGAACAAAACAAAAAAGACACAAAATTGGACAACTAAGTTTTTTTATTAACTGCAAGTAACATCGCAGATATAGTTTACAGCGCTATCTTTTCCACTGCACATTTTGTGTACCCAACCTCCACAGGAAACACAACGATACCAAATTTCGTCTTTTCCATATTCCCCACATACTAAGCAGGATTCTCCTTCGTTTCCTTCAAAGTCCATCATATTTTGGGGATCCATATCGTCGAGTTCATCGTCGTCGCACAATTACTCTCATCTATTTCATCTTCACTAGACGAATCGAAAACTTTTCTAACGTGCGATTTTTTTTTCGGTTTCTGTTTTTTTGTGGCTCTTCTTTCCAAGGTTGCTTCTTTCGCTTCTCTTTTTCTTTGTTTCTCTTCTAACGTAGCCTTAAAAGGTGTAGATGTAAGAATCTCAGACTTTTGTTTCCGGCGCTTAGTCGCATGTCTGGTAATGCCGAACACAGTGTCCGTGATTCCCCGAAACGACCTTCAAAATTATTTCAGGTTACAAAAATAAAAAACACAAACCTATGATATGATAAAGCTATCGTCCCTGCTGATAACCATCAGCTTAGAGATTATAACTATCCATAAAGAATTTTAAAATTCCAAAATACAAAGCTAACTTACCTTAATTTTGCATAAAACGTTTTAATAACAAAGCACATACAAATTCACAAATCGCCATAACTCTCATAAACGGGAAGCTAGGTTCCTTTGCGCTGTACCGACCAACTTGTCATTGCATTTTCTTTTATATTTAACTGTATGTAAATGCCAATAGTTGGCACTGCAAGATACAAATGGATGTTCGCCATTAGCCGCTGTTCGTGATTACCCTTCGCTCCCCTAATTATGCACCTAATTGCTTGCTGTTATTGAATTTGTAGGTAGTAGGGTAGTGTCAATATAGAGAAAAGGGTATACTTGTCTGTCTATGTAAATCGGTTTTTATCATTATATACGGTTATAATGGAAAACCTAGTACGCCTATTGAATTTATCTGTACCTAAGTGTAAAAAATTTGGAAAAATTAAGCGAAAAATACGATTTAAATATTGAAGAATTGTTAATGTGTTATAGTACCAAAAATCAATTGAGTGTGTCCTTTTTGGAAAACTTTGTCTTCAAAAGTCAATCTTTTTGGGGTAGTATAGATACAATGCTACAACGTGTCGTCGTTCCCGTACCAAATGACACGTTGTACAATTTGTGTGCTAAAAAAATGCTGCCGAGACCTTCTGAATGGATTAATTTACCAATCAGCAATATCCGAACGGAATTGTTGTGGAAAAAGAAGCAGCTAGAGGGTATCGGTAGAGACCTACTACAGCTTGAAAAAGAAACGGACGCAGAGTTAGTTAGATGAGTGAGAGACATAAATAGTTATTTCATTTCTATAGTCAAGAACTTGTAGATATTCTAATAAGTAGTTTAAATAAAGTCAAGGATGATATAGATATTAAGTTGTTTAATAATAGCATAGTGTAAAGAATAGAATTACACTAAGATAATAGTTATTTTATAGATGTTAGTTTTAAGTACTTAAACTTACCTATATGAAAAGATTGGTATAAATATTGTTAGTTTGTCTGATTGTTATAGACAGTATTATAGTAGATATAGGGACTTAATTTACAATTGGTCATGTACATATATATAATAAACAGATTTAACGAGGGGTATAAACAATGTTTTTCTTGTTCAAGTTTACCTAATTTTATAAGTCGATAAAAAAAGGTTAATTAAAATCTCTCTGTCTACTTGAATTTTCTGATTGTCTCGATTTCCAAAACATCCAAAAACTCGTAACAAAAATTTGCAAGTAATGGTACAGGATCATTACCCACTACTTGGCTACAAGAAAAACAAGTTAAAAAGTAATCGTAAACGATTTACATAAAGCGCATTTCCACTTGCATTCATTTCCCATTATTGTAAGATGCAACTTCTGTTAAAATCGTAAAAATCCGCCCACAAATATGAAAGATAGCGTTGCACATGGGCAATCCATTGTTGACGTGCTACTTCAATTTCAGTTTATGCGAAGAATTTCATTTCAATGCTTTTCTAAATAAGAAAGTTGGAACTGCGCATGCGCAAACCTAAATTTTAAAACTAATGTTAGATTTTCCTTTGTTCCAAGCGCCTAAGTATCAAATTTCACTTAAATAGTTCCATAGATAAAAAAGTTGGCACTGCGCATTCGCAAAATAAAATTTTGAAACTAGCGCTAGATTTTCCTTTATTCCAAGTGCCTATGTATCACATTTCATTTAAATTCTTCCATAAATAAAAAAAGTTGGCACTGCGCATGCGCAAAACCAAATTTTGAAATTGGCGTTTGATTTTCCTTTATCCCAAGTGCCTATGTATCAAATTTTGTTTAAATTCTTCCATAAATAAAAAAGTTGGCACTGCGCATGCGCAAAACCAAATTTTGAAATTGGCGTTTGATTTTCCTTTATCCCAAGTGCCTCTGTATCAAATTTCGTTTAAATTCTTCCATAAATAAAAAAGTTGGCACTGCGCATGCGCAAAACCAAATTTTGAAATTGGCGTTTGATTTCCCTTTATTCCAAGTGCCTATGTATCAAATTTCATTCAAATACTTTTATAAGTAAAAAAGTTTGCAATTCGGTTTATGGTCGAGATGCGAAAAGGGCACTGTAAATTTTGAATCGATTCGATTCAACTTTTGGCATTGCGTATTATATGGCTAAATCTATGCCCATATTGAATTTCATGCAATTCAGTTCATAACTAACGGAGATGTAAAAGCGATCAAACATTTCTAAACAAAGTTATGGTTCACACGGACAGATAGATGGACAGACAGACAAAGGAACAGACGGAGAGACCAACCGGCAGGCGACAGATAGCAATGCAAAATTATAAACGATCTCTGGGATCGTTAATAAACGGCAAAAGTGAAAAATTATGGAACATGTGAAAAACGGTTTTTTGTTTTTTTTACAATAACTTTTTTTGTAAGCGGTACAGAAAAAATTCCTTCCTTGGTACAGGACTCGACACCATAACGAACCAAATAGCGAAAAAAATATAACAATAAACAATAGCTCTTAAGATAAAGAACTAGTAGCGTCTCAACAAACGAGCGGACGGACGGACGGATAAAGTGGCCACAATAGCGCAT